ACTAAAAAAGACTCAATCCTTAAACCCTAATTTCTCAATGCACCCACTCTTCCCCACCATCTCTGCCGGCCACCACCATTGCCACTGGTCCAACTCCATCATCAGTGCCAACCTACACCGTTGCTGCCGCCACTTACCTCCACCTCCATACCATCATCACATCGCGATTTATAAAAAAAAATGTAGGACATGATACGAATTTATATTTTTATAAATTTGTTATATGTTAAAAATAGAATAGTTTATTCATATATAATGAAAAAAAAGCAACATAACACTAATTAAAATTAAGAAACCATCGGACTGGGGGAAAACCTTGAATTAATCGTGGTGCACTTGCGGGAAACTCCTTGCTGAGGGCCTATGCAACCCTGGAGATTAGTCTGGCTTTGATCCGGACACTCTAGTGCCAATAAATAAAAAAAACAAAAAAAAATTAAGAAACCATATATTCCATTGATTTATGTAACAATTGCATCCTAAAGAATACAAAACAATTGTAGAACATTGAAATAGACGTAATGTATTTATCTTATAAATGTTTCAAAATATATTTAGAGTGCATAAGTTACATTCTGAAAAAAAAAAGAACATTTTTACTATGAAAAGATTCATCACATAGGTTGTGTTTGAAGGCTTCAAAAGTACCGCCAAAGTGTCAGCAAAGTGTTGTTGATAAAGTGTCTGATATTATGAATTAAAAATTTTAATTAAGACACGTTGAAGAAGTGTTGAGCACACTTTTAGGAGTGTCTGCAAAGTGTCGGTGTCCGACATCACACACCTCCTCCATAGAAGTGTCCGTATTTCTTAGATTCTACTTGTATCCAACAAAGGAATACATTAGATTTCTAAGACAACCAAAAGCAGATGAAAATTGTAGGATGTTTTGATTTGTACTTTGCTATCTTGAAATTGGGTAAACCTTGTAAATTCATTGAAATCAAATAAGCAATCCAGAGTTGGAATATACCTGCTCTATTTTCAATGGCCCATATTCCCGAAAAATTATACAGCCATTGTACTGAATGGGAACATATTGATGTCATAAAGCTTGTCACTTGTTAAAAAAATCCCATTTATGTACATATTCATATATGTATGTGTTGGATTGTGGTTTTGTTGTTTTTTCTTGGTCTCTCTTTCTCCCCCTCCTTCTCGGATTGGAAAACCAAAATTTTATAGCACTGATGGCCTACAAAAGAGCCATGTATATGCTATTTGTTCAGAAAAGCATGAAAAGGAGAAGTCACACACAAAAGCCTGCTGACTGTATTAATTGCATGCATTCACACTGATTATGCATAACAATGTTACTCTGGTGTTTTCACTTTTGGTATTGTTTTCATTTGTGTATGATCTTTGATTTTTTATTAATTTTCTTCCCAATGCAGGATGCAGGCTATGAAACAATCATGATGAATTCAAATCCAGAGACAGTATCTACTGATTATGATACAAGTGATCGGCTCTACTTTGAACCTCTGACACTTGAAGATGTTTGTAACATTATTGACTTGGAACGACCTGATGGCATTATTGTGCAGTTTGGAGGTCAAACCCCCCTAAAACTGGCTCTTTCAATTCAGCACTACTTGGAAGAGTACAAGCCTGTATGTGCCAGTGGTACTGGGTATGTTCGCATTTGGGGTACATCACCTGATTCCATTGATGCTGCTGAGGACAGAGAAAGGTTCAATGCAATCCTTCAGGAGCTAGAAATTGAACAGCCGAAAGGAGGAATTGCCAAGAGTGACGCCGATGCACTTGCTATTGCGATGGAAATTGGCTACCCAGTTGTTGTCCGGCCTTCCTATGTACTGGGTGGCCGGGCAATGGAGATTGTTTATAGTGACAAGAAGCTTGTGACCTACCTTGAGAATGCTGTAGAGGTGGACCCAGACTGTCCTGTCTTGATTGACAAATATTTATCTGATGCTATAGAGATTGATGTTGATGTGCTGGCAGACTCACATGGTAATGTTGTGATTGGTGGGATAATGGAGCATATTGAGCAGGCTGGGGTCCATTCTGGTGACTCAGCGTGCTCAATTCCAACAAAAACTGTCTCCTCTACATGCTTGGATACAATTAGATCATGGACTGTGAAATTGGCAAAAAGGTTAAATGTGTGTGGACTCATGAACTGTCAATATGCAATTACAGCTTTTGGACAAGTTTTTTTGCTTGAGGCAAATCCCCGTGCATCCCGTACAGTTCCATTTGTGTCCAAGGCAATTGGGCACCCATTGGCTAAATATGCTTCTCTTGTCATGTCAGGAAAAACTCTTAATGACTTAGGTTTTACAAGAGAGGTAATACCCCGACATGTATCAGTTAAGGAAGTTGTTCTTCCATTTGAGAAATTCCAAGGCTGTGATGTTTTCTTGGGTCCCGAAATGCGTAGCACTGGTGAGGTGATGGGCATTGCCTTTGAGTTTTCAATTGCATTTGCGATGGCCTATATTGCTACTGGGCAGAAGCTACCAATTTCTGGCACTGTTTTCCTCAGCTTAAATGATATGACAAAGCCCCACCTTGCCACAATTGCCCGGGCCTTTTTAGGACTCGGATTCAGAATCGTTTCAACTTCTGGAACAGCTCATGTTCTTCAACTAGAAGGCATTTCAGTGGAGCGAGTGCTGAAAATCCATGAAGGGCGGCCACATGCTGGTGACAAGATTGCTAATGGGCAGATTCAATTGATGGTGATCACAAGTTCAGGTGATCAACTTGACGAGATTGATGGAAGAAATCTGAGGAGGATGGCTCTTGCCTACAAGGTTCCGATAATAACTACGGTTGCTGGAGCTTTGGCTACTGCAGATGCTATAAAGAGTTTGAAAAGTAGCACTCTCAAGATGGTTGCTCTTCAAGACTTCTTTGACATTGTGAAGGAAACAAAGAGTATAAAGAACTTTCAGTCCACGACTTCCTCTTTTTGAATATACTAGCTATTTGGTAAGGATTTGTTTTTAATTCTCTTTTCTGTGATGCTTTCTTTATTTGTCTCCATCAAAATTGTTTTTGACACACTTTTCTCCATCATTTGGTTTTAGGAAATTTTTGGCTTCTCATTTTGTGTGTGTGTGGTAGCTGCTAGAAACAAGTTAGGCAATGTCATGTTGAGATTCAGACTCCGTTTGTTTCAATGTAAAATATTTTACATCAAAACACAATTTTCATGTAAAACAATTTATTCAAAAAAATAATTTTCCTTACTATTTTTCAGTGTTTGGCTGATGTTTGTAAAATATTTTCCTAATACTCGTATTGCGCTTTCTCTATCTTGCAATTAGTTGTGGAAATTGAATTGACACTTGGAGAACCAGTCACTCACCTTTGCTGCCGCAAAACCCAATGAATGTTGCAAACAATGGTTTTCCCCAACTGTTGAGAGAGTCAAGCGAGTAAGCCGAAAATGACTTACGGAATTTTAAAACCAAAGTCATTTTTGGGCTTTTCATGAAAGTTATTTTTGTTATTTTTTATTTTTAACATGCTTTATTTCCAACCAAACAATGAAAAATGAGTAAAATATTATGTTGAAACAAATGGAGCCTCAATGTTGATTTAGAAGTGTAAAACAAATGTCTTATTTTGTTTCCTTGGTTTTGGGTTTTTGGCTTTTCAAGAAAGAATTTTCTACCAAACGAAGTCACTAATTTGATCTGTAATGCTTCCTAACACAGGTTTTACCATCATAAATTCCCTGCTTTTGTGGTGGGATAAAAATTGTTTGATGCTCAAATTTAACCGTTCACGAGTGAGTTATTGCTAATGTGTGTCTTAGTTTTAAAATTGATACAAGAGGCGATCCTGGTGTGGGTTTGAGTCACGAAATCAATCTCTCCACACGCAAAAAAATTATATATATGGTGGGGGGAAAGGATGTAAGCAGGAACCTTGTGGAGTGAGTATGGCTTTTGTTGTTAACTTGATTTTCTAACTGTTACAGCTATTTGACACAATGTAGCTTACTGGTCTAACCCCACTAAAGAGGGGGTTGGATATATTGTCATTTTTGTTCATTTCGAAACAACTTGCTGTTTTGTGTGTATATTTTAACTTGCATTAATTTTATACATGATCTTGGCTTGATCTTGGTAGTCAAAAGTTGGTTAGCAGGCTTGATGGATCACATAGTCAATTCACTAGTTTCAATTGTGCAAGAAAAAAAAAAAAAATTTGCCTGCAGGACTTCTAATTTCAGCAAAATTTTGAATGCTTAAGATTTATTTTGTTGTGGATGTTCATTTGTTAATCAAAAGTTACCATTAAGAGGGTTTGGGGCTATGATCTACTGATTCTCAGTCTATTGGCCGATTGCATGTGTAAATAGCTTAGCATTCAGTGGTTACACTATAGTATCAATGACTTTTAACTTATTACTTCGATGATTTTTCCTTGTCGTTAAAAACTATTACAGATTTAGTTACTCTACATGTACTGATGTAGAAACAGAACTAGAACTCGTATTATTGGAAACTATTTAAAAATTGTGCAAGATTATGTTGTGATATGATGTTCCACGTTTAGATGGAAGATGGGGGTGTTGTCAGTGAGGTAAATCTGTCATTTCTTGTTTAGTTGCATGCTGTATGTGCAAATGTGCTTTTAATTGTGTTAGTGTTGTGTCGTATGATATGAGAAGTGCATGGCTTAGGATGTTGAAATGAAGTTCTCAACAGTGTGCTTCTATTTTACAATATTGTAGTTCAACTGTCCATTCATTTTGAGACGTGGGCGTTACACTCCCATAATAGAGGCCATCAGAAGGTTACAATTCTGAAATGTAACACTTCTCTGTGACCAACTTCCAAAATTATGTCAATGCAACTACCCAGAACTCTCTAAAACCCAACCAAACGAGGCATGTATGGTTTAAAATGACTTGTTTTTTGAGTTTCCAAACTAGTCCTCCAAACTTTGTCCAAAATTTGGCTCTTCATGTTAGGAAACTCCTTATGGGAGGGGAACATTGAAGCACACCAATTTACTCATGAAAAAAAATTCAAGCTTTGTTAGGGGAAACAACAATTTATGTGCCCCGTGGGACATGCTACCTCAGTTAGAGAAATTAGCAGCCTCCCACATTTTGAAATTCCAAAAAATAGCCCTAAAATACACTAGATTCTTAAAGTGTGAACAAAATTCTAGTGATATCTGCTTGAAGTGGTGGTAGTTGGGAAACAGACCATAAAAGTATGCTACAAGTCTTGAGACATTTTTTTAAGAGCTGAAAAGCAAAGTAGTTTAAAGGAGGAGGGCCACAACCCCATTTTTTTTAAGAAGTGGAAAAGGACATTGATCAATATGGCTATGCTTTGTTTTATTTTATTTTACATTATAATAACTGAGGTTTGAAGAATTGGTAGACAAAAATTCTGAGCCATATTTGGATCCTCTTTCAGTTCTTTGAACAGGTGCAGGTAATAATACCTATGATGTACTGTTAATCAGCTTTAGACCTCTTTGCCTTCAAGTTTTTGGTATAAATTTCACTCTGATCCTGAGATATATAAAATACCGGCTTGGTAATCAGTATAAGCGTAAACTGTGTATCAAAAGTTATCGCTAGGGATAATTCTTACCATATTCATCAAGAATCTGAGTACCTCTTTCATCCTAAATGCATCATGAGTTCAGGGTACTCAATTTTTATACAGAATTGTGTGGGGAGATCTTTAACTTCATTGTGGTATAAAATTCCGGATTCTCCTGCATTCTTTTGAGATTCGTGGCCTTCTATCTTTCGCTTTGTCAGTCGCTAATCCTATTAGTTTACTAGTTTATTTATTTATTTATTTTTTGGAGGATTCAAAATATAGTTTATATGTGTAGCCCACTCCTAAGGGTGTGGGGAATGGGAGCCGCTAAGCAGTGGTTGCAACGGGTGGCAAATTGTACAGACATAAGCTAATGGATTGTTGCCACTATCACCCAACCTCATCTCTAGCGAAAGTTGAACCGCCGATCTCTCATACATTGGCTATTAATTGACTAGTTGTGCAAAGAGAAGAATGAAAAATGAACTTTTCTTTTTCTCCTGAGTACCACTGTAATGGGAGAATGTGAAAGGACTGGCATTGTCAGGAGAAAAACATGAACTATCAATTTTTTATGTAGCAAATGTGAAATATAGTGTTTGGTGGTGGACTTTGCACCCTTCTACTTTTTTGATATTGGGCATATTAGCTTTTTGATGAAGGTGTAGCAACTTTCATTGCGTTTGGTTCATACTTTGTCCATATATGCATCAGCACGCACTTCTTGGAGTGCTGGTATGGTATGGTAGTATGTTCTTACGTGATCTGTATTAGGAGAAAACTGCTTTATGCTTTTTCTGATTTCCTGGTTTCTATATCAAACTTATTGGCACTTGATGCACCATCTTGTGCAGAACTTTGGTGAATGTGTGGATTAGATGTGGTGTGGCCCAATAATTCTATGGACACAGAATCAAATATAGAGAGGCTTCTTTACTTACGGTGCTCGACCTACATTTTCTGTGGCCGATTTTGTGATTGATTTTATGTCTATAGAAACATACAGGATGAAATTTGGTCAACATATTCACCAAAGTTGTGCAAAAAAAAGGTTGTGTGAAGTAGTTTTATTTTGTTTTCTTTATTTCCTTGCATTGATACACGATTTTAAGCATTAACTTCTTGTCTCAAACTTTGTTATAGAAATAAGAGGAGTGATGGAGATCCCCTCCAATCACCACCCCCACCACCCCCCACACACATGTGACAGGTGGTGATTGGAGGACAAGGGAAACAAAAAAAAAAAGAAAAAGAAAATCCAACCAATGAGAGAGAGAGAGGGGGTCAAAGGGGTGGAAAAAAAAGGGGTCTTAGACATTTTTATCTCCAATTAGAGAAGTGCAGTCCTGCTCAAGTGGGTTTGTGGGGTGCTTCACGACTCCATTATCAATATATAATTTGAGTTGTTTATTTTATAAGTCTCTACAAATAGATTATTGATTTAAAAATTTAGATTAATTTGATAATAGTAATCATATAGCTAATTTTTTTAATTTTGTCCTCCTAATGCCACCTCAATGACATGGCTATGACTCATGTGAAACGATTTCAAACTCCTCTCCTCTCATCTTTAGCCCTCTTTAATTGTACATAATTGGGGTGGAATTAGGGGGGGTAAACTTGGAAGATGAATCGTTTTTCATAATTTTATTAGATTTGTCTTTAAAAGAATTGACAATCAATTTTAAAATCTGACTTGTCATCTATTTTTTGTTTGATGAAATTATGTAATTATAATTATCGAATTAACATGATTTTTTCATGAATAATTACATATGAAATTATAAAATGAACGATTTAAATTTTTAAAGTGGGATTCGTGGACAGGATTGCCCTTCTCTCTAATGGGAGAGAAGTTAGCCCCGGCAAATATCTCCATTTGTGACAATTTTGACATCTCAATCCAAAAGATACGAATATTGTGATATCTTTGTTTTTTTATTCGATATTATTCTCTCTTTCTTGGCAGCCTAACGCACAACTATGTGATCTCTAAATCGGATGAGAAAGTTCAAAGGACATTGAGCTGGAAAATCGTCATCTCCTTTCTTTGACTCAATATATGGTTCACTATGACTTGTTGACAGCAATTTCAAAGCCCCCCAACCATGAACACTTCATTAATTGAAGGATTCAAATTGAAAAGGTTTTAGTTAATTTTCTCTTGGAAATGTTGAATAGCCCCCTTTTTTTCTTTTCATGGCTTTGTTTGTACTCGGAAAATCAGACCATCTATCTTTTGAGAAGAACTTCAAATCTAAATCTAATTGTTTTCATCTATCAATAGGGATGATGGCTAAAAAAAACCTTAACTCGTACGTCTCCCGATCTATTGGAATGGATTTGAGAGTTTCTTAACAGGATAAGATTTGTTAGAGTTTGAGTAGAAATGGAAAATTTGGTTTGGTTCACGTCCGGGTAGCGGAAGATTAAACCTAGCCCATCATCGATCTAATTGTATGTAATATTATTAATTTTTTATATTTTTTTTTATTAATGTCTAATTATATAAAATAATCTATAGGATTTTATTCTATTCTATTCTATTCTATTCTACCTCTTAATTCTCTTTTTATTCTGTAATCTCTATGTAGATCAACCACCGATGATTTATTTTGAAGTTCATGTACTTTATTTTTAGATGTCATTTGTTATTTTGAGCTATGAAATTACATTATTGAA